GATTGGCTCCCAATCCCTTGCCTGTGGCATGCTTCTTTGAACATGCAAAGTATTAATGTGTTCTGTTTTATTTTCTGTTTGCTCTACCTTGTTCCTTGTTGGAAGTAATAAATGAAATTTTGTAATAAGTCAAATGTTGAGTCAATGAAATAATGAATGTGTGACATGCATCATATACATATATGACTCCAGGTGTGCCGTTGAGGCCGCATACCGGTGATGCTAACAAGGTGTACCTTAGGGTCACCCACGACGTAACATGCTAACAAGGTGTGCCTTAGGGTAACCGGTGATGTAACATGCTAACAAGGTGTACCTTAGGGTCACCAGTGATGTAACCAGGTGTACCTTAGGGTCACCAGTGATGTAACCAAGTGTACCTTAGGGTCACCAGTGATGAATTATGAATCTTCCGTATGGCACCACATGCATGCATTTATGAGTCGAGTCCATGACATCCACTTGTAATCACTTTGGAAGTTATAATATTAAGTGAGCCTTTTGTGCCTTAATATTTTTCTTAGTCTCTCTTGGTCTAAATTTGGCCAAGAACCCTACCTATCTCCACCTTGAGAGAAAACCTTAGAAGTGACCTTCATCACCCATGGAGTGAGCCAAAACCTAGAGTCCCCTTATCAAACCTTTCATCAAATACCTTCACCTCACCCTTCCATTTTTGGTTTCCATCCTAAAACACCCCCACCTTGAAGAGCTTGATCCACGGTGTCAAGGCTTCCTTCACATTGGTCACCATCTCTCCACCAATGCTAGCAAGGATGCCATCATGCTAGCCATATTTTTTTAGCTTTATGTTAGATGTTGTTTCTGACCTCAACTTCAGCCATTGATTCTGGTATTATATCAGTCATTGTGATTTGGTAGGGCCAAGCCACTTAAATTACTCAACCTAAGATGTAGGGGATCTCTATAGTTGATATGCATAACAACGCATTAGATGATGTAAATTTATGTATGTTGACATGATGAATATGTTGTAAGTTGTTCAATTGCTATGATGATGTTATTTTGTTGTAAGATGAATTATTTTGATATGATGAAGTATTATAAGTTGCATGTTGAATTCTTTTCACTAGCTTACCTTGTGTTTTTCTTATGGTGGGAATTGCGTTGATCATACTTGGTATGGGAGCAGGCTAGATTAGCAGGATGACTTGTGTAGTTGGAGGATAGTCATGTTGGAGGTGACTAGTTTTGGTTATAGGCTACTCTTGAGTAGTCAGATTTTGCATAGACATTGATCGACACTTAGGTTTATTTTGCAATTGGTACTGCATTTTGTGTATGTATATATATATATATATGTGGTGTATTAGATACCAATTACTAGTTGTAATACAAACTCTAATTCTGATGCATGTAATTTAACCTTCCGCACATAATAGTTGTATAGTAGCTAATGTAGTGACTTGTCGAGTCATTATAGAGGGGACAACTTTACAAAAACAATTGTCCTTTCAAGAGCTAACCCTCTCACTAGGAGTTTTCAATATTCAATTTTTAGAGCACCACAACTCAGATCCACACACTGAGATCTTTCAACTTAAAATCAACTCATTCCCCTTTAGTTTTTCATCAACTTTCAACTTAGTAAAAATAATGCAAAAGCAACATCAAAATCCACTTGGTTTAGAAAGAAACAACTTACAACACTACAACACCTCAACTTAATCAACATATGATAAACCAACATAAATCACTCAACTCATTTTAAACGACCTTAAGTTCATCATCAATAATCATCATTTTCTACATGGAATATCATAAACAAAACTTAAATTGTTTAAAATCATCACAATATAATAAAAGAATCATCTATCTTAGTGTTCATGGAAACAAAGCTTTTGAGGAGCTATTTTTGCTCATTGAGCGATGCAAGCTCTATGGAGCTCCTTGTTGAGGAGCTGGAGGTTGTTAAGCAAACAAAAAGGCTTTGTACCTCCCATTATTAAGTGATTTTTTCTCGCTCAATGATTTAACTCTTTGTGGGTCTTCTAGCCTAGCAAGACATTCTTGCTTAGTGATCAAAAGCTTTTGTGGGTCTTCTTTGCTCAACAAGATAGTCTTGCTCAACGAGAATTCATGATGTTTATCCTCCATATGCATTCTTGCCAAGTGATGCATGTGTCGTTGAGTGAGAACACAATTTTTTTTTGCTTTAGCCTTGATACTTTGAAAGCTCGCTCAGCAAAGCTCATCTGGTTATGAGATAATGCTTTACACCACCATGGTGCAAACACTCTTCCAACATCATCCAAGCTTCATTCACACTTGCAACCCATCACTCCATCTCTAAACAACATAAACCACATGAATTCAACAACAAAATCAACATGCATACGCAATTTATCTAGACTTAAGGATTCTTTGGGTTTTGGTTCAACACCCAACATCCATTAATAACTAGACTTAACACAAATCAACTTCAAAAAATCAAACAACAAGCTTCTCTTACCTTGATTGCTTCCTAAACACAAGAAATTAATGAAGAAAGAGAAGAACTTTTAAACTCTCAAGGTTGACTTCTCTCTACAAATTCAGGTTTCTTGGGCTCAAATATTAGCTTCAACCACCTTAACTCAACCTCAAGGGAGATTTAGAGGCTCTTGGTGAAGTCAAAAGAAGAAACAATCCCATAACTCCAAAACTTATCTCGTTAACTTTTCTCTAAATTTTCGAGGAAATGAACTTATAGAGTTCATGTTTCTTGAAAATCTTATATATCTTTTTCCGTTTTGGGTCAACTTTAGTATCAACTTAAACAACTTAGTTCTCAAGAATTTTTTAACCCTTAGAACTCTATAAAACAGCTAGTAACACATCATAACAATTAAAACACACCAATACATCACAAATCATGACAACATGCATAAAGCAAAAACATACAATATTATGTTTACACACCTTAAAATTAAGAGTATTTAAATATTATTTTCTAAATTTAAAACTTTTACAAAATAGTCTTGTAACGAGTTATTTCATATTTTTATTCATGACTACTAATAACTTGATTTATTTTTGGATATAAATTATATGTATTCTTCTTACGAGACAATTAGCCTTTAACCGAATAAAATTATTATATAAAGGATAAAACTTTTGTTCTTAATATTTAACACAGTTGTAAATCAAATATTTAGATTTGAGATGATTGGTTAAGTTGGGACAACTTCATCTCACTTATTTCAAACACTCTACAATACAGAATAAATTGATTGAATAAACATATAAGATCTTATCATTATCAAATAAATTATTCTTTATTACATATAAGATCTTATCATTATCATTTTTTATAAATTATATTATTTTTTTATGAAATTTAATGATTATTTTCATTTCAATGCCACTTTTAGTTAAAATCAAATGTAAAATAATTTATAATATTTTAAATAAATAATAACACTTTTAAAAAGTATATACTAATATAGTTGTATATACATTTGTTTTCTCAAATTACAAATCTTACTGATTAAACAAACTAATGTAACATTATAAAATTATTATATACTAATTTAAAATTATTTTTTTAAGAAACTTAAAATATTATAAGAAAATAATAACACATTCCTGTGTATTATTTTCAACACATTTTTTTATTAATTAAAATTAATTATAAAATTTTATAAGTCTCATTGTTTTTCATCGATCCTCTCTTCTTGTTATAATTTTTAATAAATTTTATCTAATAATATAATATGTGTTAGAAAAAAAATGTTACCTTTTGACATTCTAAACCTTTGACATATATTTGGGTCACTTTGTTGTGATATGTGCAACCCATGAACCCATCAAGCCCAGCCTCTTTCACGGCCTCGCAGCAACACAAAACAAAACATCGATCAAAACCGAAACTTTCCAACTTCCAACGTTGTTCACCGCCTCAACCTCGGCAGCAACAAACACCCATTGTCTCATCTTCTCTTCATCATTTGAACAACTAAAAAAACGAAGCATTTAGAAAAAAAAAAAAAAAAAAAAAAAAAAAAAAAAACA